ACTCACATATGCATGCTCTCACACACTCACACACTCACATATGCATGCTCTCACACACTCACACATGCATGCTCTCACATGCTCACACACTCACACATGCATGCTCACACTCACACATGCATTATCTCACACACACATGCGCTCACACGTGTGCTCTCACACACACGTGTGCTCTCACACCCGCACACACTCACACATACATGCTCTCACACACATGCTCTCACACACACTCACATACACACGCTCACACATGCATGATCTCACACACACATTCTCTCACAATGCTCACACACACGCTCTGACACACTCATGCATGCTCTCACACATGCTCACACACATATGATCTCACACTCATGCTCTCTCATACACCCACACCCATGCTAATGCATGCATGATCTCACACACATGGTCATACACACATGCTCTCACACACGCTCACACACACATGCTCACACATCCATGATCTCACACAAACTCACAGTCACATGCATGGTCACACACACATGATCTCACACACACATGCTTGCACATGCATGCGCACATGCACTCACACACACACAATTCTGCCAGGATGTGCTCCACCTGGATGGGGGAAATCTTGTAAAATCAAAACATCTCAAATATATCAGGAACCAAATACATGCTAACACAAACGTTATTTTTGGAGCATTCCCTAAGGAAACCTGGTGAAGGACAGTACACACACATGCTGAGACCCCCATCCACAGACCATTCCCATTCACAAAGGGACAGGCTGTATTCACGTTTACCCCTTGAATATGGCCGGATGCTGGGTGGAGAGTAGGTTCTCTAAAGTCTATTTGCTAAAAGAATCAGTATGCCAGATTTCTGAAACGGTAAATGAGCTTCAGTCATTGTTCAGCATTCAGTCCTACAAGAATTCCCTTGCCTTTGGATGGGAGGGACCTTCGTATCCAGTTTAAAACCAACAACGCAAGGATTCATGCTGATAACAGTAAAACAAAATGTCTCTCCATCGGACAATTTGGTCAAAGGACTTAGGGTTGGAAGCTCTTTGTCCTAGATCTGGCTTGTTCAGAAGCTGCTGAGTAATTTCATAATCTGCTTCACTGCCTCTTCTGCTTCCTAAGAGGCTGGCCCCTCTTACCACAGGTGTTACCCACATGTTTGAGGTTAATAAAAGGCCAAGTCAGCCAATGCCACTTGTGACAAGCTCAGAAAACACAGCTTTCCATGCAGGCGTGAACACGGGCGCCATGATGGTAAGACAGCCCTCAACACAGCTGCTCCTGCCTTCAGCTGGGCCTCAATCTCCCCACTTGTAGCAACAAGGGGCTGGTCTGGACAATCTCTAAGGGCCCTAGGATCTAACTGGCCCAGCCCTCTCTGATCCCTCCAGAACATCTGTGCTCCAAGCTTCCCTGGCTGAGAGGGAATGGTAAAGCCACCGCCTTCTGGGCACCCAAGAGTTTAACCCATTCCTTTCTTTCTTGGGAAGAGCAAGAAATGCACAAAGCAATAAGCACAAAGCCTACTGTACTTAAGGAAAAATCAGAAGTCTTGTTTGTATAATCAGACCACTGATTTATCAGTAAGTCACAGAAAGCACGCTTTGATAGGATTCCACCTAACAGCGATGCAGTGGTGGACGGGGGACGAGGCTGTTTTCTTCGGGTGCATCCGGACAAGAACTTTAAATATGGGAATTCCTTTTCCCACCTCCCCATCATGTGCACAGCACTTCACAGTTTAGACCGTATTTCCACGTTCATTACTCCACCTGGTCTCATAACCAGCCTGTGAAGAAGGCAGGGTGGACGGATCAGTCCCATTTTGCAGATGAGGAAACAGAGGCTCAGGATGGTGGAGCCACATGCCCCAAATCACCCAGAAATTCCATCAAGAAACAGAAGGAGACCTGGAGCCTTCTGCTTCCTGCTCCATGGCTCCGGCCACCTGCAGCCCGTGCACCTGTCCCAGGCCAACTCAGGCGGAGCGGAGGTGGGCGGTCCCCTTGGAGAGGGAAACCAGGGGCTGAGAGACCCCCTCACTGTTCGACCTGTCCAGCCCCTACTCACTGATGCAACAAAACTCTCTGACTGAAGGCTGGCTATTCACTCTCTCCTCAGAAATTCCTAAAACACAGGAATGGATGACTAACTCTGGTTGGTTCTGTTTTCCAAAATTCCAGCTGGGTTGGGTTGGGGTCCAGGAAGCCTTTGTACCTCAGGATCTCGGCTGGCGTCAGTCCGGCTGCCTCCCTCAAAGTGGCATAACCGAAGCCCAGAAACCCGCCGTCGGTGATGACTCCCACCCCAAGCCCACTGACGTGTGTGAGCCTCAGCTTTAGAGCACACAGAGGCGTCCTGACTCAGAGGTGCCCTCCGCAGTCTTCGATGCAGAGGCTCCCAAGAGCCCGCTAGCGAATCTGCCCTTACTATTCAGACAGCCCCTGGTGCCTCCCCATCCCCGACCGGAACACAGCAAAAGGAAGCATCCAGAAGCAAAGGGGTGCAAGAGGCATGCAGGGAACACGGCAGCAGAGGAAATCCGACTGTACCATGCTGTTTGTAGATAGGGGGTTTCCTATAGATGTTATCTTTTACGCCAGTGTCTGGGAAAGAAGAGAGAGAAGAGGAGAAGGGCAGGGTGAGCGAGCACACTGGTTTCCACCCCTCTGCTTCTCCAAAGCAGGCGTCAGGCACCAGATTCCAACTGGCCAGACAGGCTCACAAGCGACTGACGCCCGGGGCCCACACCTCAGACCAAGCGTCGCCCAGCCCGAAGCCAGAACCTAGTTCAAGGGGTGCGGGGAGGGAGGCAGCTAGAGTGGGCAGCTGGCCGGACAGCGCCTTCTCTCCAGCACATTCCCGGGAGAGCAAAAATGTCTCCCTGGTGTTTGTGTGGCTTTGGGGGAAACTCCAACGCACGCCAGCAGGCGGATATGCAAACCCTTAGAATTGTGGGGGCCGAGAGGCTTGGGAATCATAGCAATCCCGTGCAATCAGACACTCTGTGTGGCAAGCCCAATCACGCATCCTGGGTGCCTACCTGGGACGTGGAAGTGGCGAGGCGCCTGCTGGTAGGTGCAGGGGGGAGGCTTGCTGTCTGAGAGCACTGAGAGGCTGGGGGTGCTCCGGCCACTTTCACTGCCTCCAGACGGAAGAGCAAAGACAGGTAGAAGGGAGGAAGGGGAAGGCAAAGGACAGTATGTCAAGTAGGAATGCTGGTTCCCAGTGAACCCATCTCCCCTGGCTGGTGGAGCCCCGCAACACTCTGCCCAGGGGAGGGTGCCCTCCACCGACACTTCCAGACTGTGCCCCACAGCTTGTTAATCCAACCTCGAGTGGACCCCTTCCAGTGGCCCCATTTGCAAGGAGCAGTGGCCCCAAGGGCAAAGCAGTGGCCCCCAAGAGCCCCAAGGGCAAAGAACTTGCGGGTTGCTAGTTCATGGGAATGTCGGCTTGGCTCAGCTGACCCCCACTCTCCTCGGGGTGCACAGTTGGTCTGCCGTTCAGCACCTGCTGGGGCTTGAATCCAGCAAATCGTAAATTCACCAAAACTAAAGCCTCCCTCCCTCAGTATCCTTGTGTAAAAAGATGCCGCTTTCCCAGAGGATCCACAAATCATTCAGAATAGGATTACAAAATCGGTTCCTAAATGCCGCTGAGTAACATTTTATCAGCTACAGGAGGATAAGAGCAAGTTGATACTAATTAGCTGCCATGTTCCTAAATAAACCTACTTTTGGCAAATTAAATGAAAGGAGTTCTCCAATTCTGGCTCCAATTTCATATCCCACCTGGATTTATAATTTCTGTGTTCTGAACAAGGTTGGATTATCAAGTCACAGATTTAGACAGTCGTAGTTTCCCCGGGTGACCCCCTCGTCCCCCCTCCCCACCCTACACGTACCTATTTAAGGAATGACATGATAGAATGCAATGGGCGTTGAACACTTTGGATGATGAGGTTTACGGCTCAGTTTAGCAAGACACGCCTAAGGCATTTCCTCATTTCCTCTCCCATTAGCCTCAGGAAACCCTCTGCCACCTTGGATCATGGCCTGGCGAAGGGAGGGGCCCTCCAGACTTGGAAGGAGCCCCTGTGAGGTGCAGCTGTTCAAAGCGGCAGGGCCCTGAGGTGACCTGGCAAAGAAGCAGCCCTCCCACGGGGTAGACGCGGACGGGAGGGTGCAGCAGGCGTGGGCTCCGAGCACGCTGTTGCCTGGGTCGGGTGCACCGGGAACCCAGGAGGGCTCATAGGGGCAGAGGTGGGCACTCAGCCTGAGCAGGCCCCTGCCCCGCGGCCCAAACCGGGCTGAGACCACAAAGGGGGCTGCTGACCACAGCTCAGAGCATCCATCCCCCTGCGCCTGGGTGCCAATTTCGCCCGTTAGTGCTGATGGAACTTGGGGCCCGTGACTGCCCCCCATCACCACGTGAACCCTGCCTTCCCCTGAGCCACACCCCCCTTGCAGCACAGACTCTTCCAGAGCCCCACACCAGTCCAGGCTCCTTCCCGCTGCTCCCTGGGGCACGAGCCTTCAAGCCATTGCTGAGTCCCCCGGGGGAAACCACCGCCATGTGCACATAAAGGAAACTCCCGATTGCCGATCGGTTCTACCAACGGTGGCTTGTGAGGGGGTACACCCCAAGGACAGAGAAACACGGCAGAAGTTTAAACAGTCTCCTTGCCCAGGCTCGGGAACCGCCGAGGACGGCCCACTCTGGGGGTCGTCACTAAGTCTGCTGTGCTCCGGGCACAGCCTGGCGGATCTGGGAGGCTTCAAACAGCTCACTTCCTTCTGCCTAGACGCCCTCGTGCACCCAGCTCCTGCCCAGGTGGCTGCAGATGATGGGACATGTGGCAGGGCTCCTGTCCCCCCAGGCCCCAAGCCTACAGTGCAGTGTGTTCCTACAGCACAAGCAACAGCCTGTGTGTGTGTGCTGATCTATCTGGGGAGCACCCACAGTGCTCAGCAGGTCCTCACGGGGCCCGAGACCCTGGGGCAGCTGGGGTCACAGACCCAGAAGCAGTGGCCCATGACGCCCATCCACACCTACCATCCAGGGGTACAGAGATCACCAAACTCTGCTCCCTGGTCCCAGGCTTAGATGTCTCTGCTGGCATCCCCTCCTCCCAGCCTCCCTTCCCCTCCCCACCCCCGCTAGAATCCCCTTTGCAATCCTCCCCACTTGTCATGGCCCTTCCTGGGTCAAGGCCCCAGTGCAAAGCCTCCCTGGGAGACCCAGGCCACCATTGACCATTCTCCTGTCTGGACTCAATGGGTCACCTCATTTTCATAAGACACTGCTAACATCACCCGCCCCCCCCGCTCCCGAGGGTCCCTTGTAGTGCTTTGCCCACAGAAGCTCACAGAAATGCCCACAGCAGCCCCGTAGGACTCGTAACTCCCTGGCCGCCTTCTGCAGGAGGGACGGGGCTGGGAGGGCCCGGGGCCAGGGTCCCGCTGAGGCCCAGCTCCAGCTGGCTCACCATGCCGCCCCCGAGCCTGCAGTCACTGCCCCAGGGGCCGGCTTCCTCCCTGGGCATCAGCAGTAAAACCCCAAACCACCGATGTCACCACGGATGCGGGAAAACGAGAGGAGGCCCCGGCCTGACTTTGAGAAGAAGCCCCTGCGGAGCAGGCTCTTGTGGCCTCTGGAGGCAGTTCGGGAAGGAGGTCGGATTCTGACCTCTACTGGTGGTGGTCGGGGAGAGGCTGCTTCTTCCTAAATTTGAAGCAAGCGGTCTGCTCTGGAGCGCGCTGCAGCCAGTCTCCCCGCGGGGTAACCGCTCCTGTTGCCGCGGGCATCATGCGTCGCTGCCTTGGTGTTGGCTAAAGGCCACCCTTCAGATTTCACGTCCCCTCCCCCGTCCATGGACCCCATCCGGGACATCACGTGACACGTCTTCCCGTCTCCCCAGGCTCCTCTGGGCTGCGACAGCTTCTCAGACTTCCCTGATTTGCCATGATTTTCATGAGGAGTCCTGGGCAGGTGTTCTGCGCGGCGTCCCTCCGTGAGGACTGGTCTGATTATTTCTCGTGATCAGACGGGGATTGCAGGTTCTCAGGAGGAACACCCTGGGGGCGCAGTGCCCTCCCATCCCATCAGGTCAAGGGCACCTGCCATCAACGTGACCGGTCACTGGGATGGTGACCTTGAGCCCCTGGCCAAGTGCGGTTTGCCAGGTTTCCCGAGCAGTCTCCCTCCTGGCCCTCCAAGGCTGTGCCCTGAGCAGGCCATGCACCGTGCACGCCTGGGGACTGGGGAGGGGGGGGGTGTGGGTTCCCTCCTTGAGGGTGGCACGTCCATGTAAGTCACTGGGAGCTCTCCTGCTCGGAAGATCTGTCCCTTTGCCCTCGTTTATTCATTTGCTCATTTATTTTTGACAGCATGGACTTGCGGGCCCTCACCTCACTCGCTGGGTGACTGTCCAATGTCCTGTCATTCATTCTGCTCTTCGATCGTCCCAGCTTTGCCCTGGGTCGGCCCCTGTCAAGTCCTCAAGGTGGCTGGAAGCAAAGCCAGCTCCCATCTGCGTGAAAGGGCGTGTTAAGGACGATGAGCAAGACGTGCGTGGGTTCTCACATGTGCAGCGCTCCACCAACCGTCTGAGTAAGGTGCATGGCCCAGGGACTGGGGCCAGATGAAGAGGTGCCTCTGGGGCACAGTGAGTGGGTGGGAAGCGGGCCCTGACCTGAGGCTCTGCACTGGCAGCCCCTTTCCCCCACTCCTGCCACAGGGGGGAGGAGGCCCGCTGCTCAGTAAGCTGCAGCTGCCCAGTGAAGGGGTCCCAGCAGCACCACCTCCCCTTGACCTGCTCCTTAACAGGTGAGAGGTCAGGCTTAAACCTTACGCTGCCTCAGGAGACATCCCCGGGTCTGAAATTCATACTAAAGTGCAAATGACTGCCACCAACACAGATGCGGCCTGCCGGCCTTGGTAGAGAGTGGCCTTGGGCATTGAGACATGGGGGGAGGAAGGTGTGTCTGGGATAGGGGTCCAGCAAGGAGAGAGGAGGAAAGCAAGGTGCCCCGTCAGCATCTAGCTGGGTCAGGGCAGGTGGTGGCTGGGGTGAGGGCATGCCTCTCCTTGGGGAGCCCTCCACCCACAGCGGCATTCAGAGGGTCATCACCTAGAGGAGCCAAAGATGCTAAGGATGCCATGAGGAGAGGCCAGGAAAGGTTTTCCTGGGGAGGGTGGGTGGACACGGGGCCATGACCAGCTGGGAGGAGGACAGGCCTTTGACACAGCTGACAACTGAATGCCCATAGGCTGGGATGCGCTAGAGCATGCGGCTGAATGAGAGCATCAAGCAGAGGACAGGCTCCCTCGGTGTGGTCTCTGAGGTGGACTCAGGACCTGTGATGGACATGGCTGGTGAACAAGGGCCCGACTCAGCTCTGCCCCACAGAGCTTCGGGATCTCAGGCCAGCATCGTCTGTCTGAGCCTTGGTCTCCTCTGGGGTGAGTCCTGTGAAGAGGCTGGGCACTCCCAAGGTCACAGATGGCCCTGGAAGTTGGGTATGGTGCAGAGACATGGCGCCAGGACTCCCCTGCATCTGACCCAGAGAGGAGAGCAGGGGCTTTGTCTGATTTTTGACAAAGGGGCTTGGTGGCCAGTGCAGCTGGGAGGGTCAGGGCAGATACCGCACCAAAGGCTGCAGGACCCACACAGGCCCCGTGCCTGGGCCCACCTGGCAGGCCGCATGGGGACCGTGCTCCTGTCCCCAGGAGATGCCCTTGGCCAGGCTCTGAAATGGTTTCCAAATCCTATTTCAGTGGGCAGGGGCTAGAGCCTGTCTGCATGGTCTCTCCCACCATGGGGTGGAAGGAGGGGCCTAGCTGCTCCTGCCCGAGGACAACACGGCTGTCTCTCCCTGTGACCCCCCGGCCCTCCCTTACGGGGCTGAGGAGGGTGTGCTGCTCCCCCTGACCCACCTGGAGCGGGCATGCTGCAGGTCTGAGACACCGTCCCAGGGCCAGCCCTTGGCTGAGGGCGCTCACTGGCTTTCCTCACCCTGGAGGGCTAAGAACTTGAGGGTGGAGAGTCAGAAGGGGACAGCGGAGGACAGGGTCACAGGGTCTGCTCTGGCCGCAGACCCCAGCCTGGACTCATCTCGGACAAAGGGGGTCCCCGTGTGGTCCGGCCAGCTCACGGGGGCTGTCGGGACAGCAAGGCTACCGCAGCAGAGACAGCAAGTGCCCCGTGGCCGGGCCTTGTCTCCGGGCCACCCCTCTTCCAGCGCCCTCAGGGGGACAGCCCCACCGAAAGCAGGGCCACGGCGGGTGGCGGTTGGGGGGGGGGAGCTGTGTGGCCAGGGGCCTTCGGACCTGTGAGCGAAGGGAGAAGAGGCATCTCCTTGGTGACCTGCTATGACCCGTCTACTAGCCAAACTCCCCCTGGTTTGCAGGGAGTGTGCTGTCTGCCCACAGGACGCGCACGGGCCACGCGGCTGCATGTGGCAAGGCCTTGCTGGCTGCTGTCGTGCTCACGGGAGGCACCATGTCCGGCTTTGCTGCTTCTCAAGAGGGACGGCATGTTCAGAAAAGTCAGATGGTGAGCTGTGAGGACAGGTCCCGATGCTCGGGGGCTCTGCTCTCCGTTGACCCAGGGCAGACACGCAAACTAGCGACGGGGATGCACGTAAGGGAACACACAAGTTCCAGCAAGCCCCATCCGAGACCATCAGATGGGGGCACAATCCAGCTGAGCTTGGCTGGCCTGCCAGTCCCATCAGGAGGGCCAGGTCCCACTCTGTAGCTGTACAGAATGGGGGGCTCAATGCCTCTCTGGGGGATCAGTAAGAACATCACCGCTGCTTCCTCTAACACCCGGAGCACCCTTCTACGGTGTCTCGGGCCGCTGGGCTGTGTCCCAAAGTGCCGGACATTGTTTCTTACAGTTCTGGAGGCTGCAAGTCCCAGACCGAAGCGTGGCAGGGCTTGGTTTCGGTGGGAGCCCTGCTCCTGGCTGGCAGACGGCCACCCTGTCCTCACATGACTGTGAGGCCCTTCCTCTGAGCACACGCAGAGAGCGAGGGCTCTTCCAGTGTCTTTTCCTCTTCTCGTAAGGCCACCGATCTTATGGATCAGGATCTCATCTTAGTGACTTCATGCGACCTTGATGGCTTCCTGAAGACCCCATCTCCAAATGCAGTCACATGGGCGGTTAGGGCCTTCACATATGGACCTCGGGGACACAATCAGTCCGTAACACACGGGAAACGAGCTTGGCCATTTTCCTGGTGTGACTGGCATTTGTTGTCTGTGTAGGGATGTGGATGGTGGGGGGGTGGTCTGCGCCCTGGGAGGAGGCAGGAACTAGAGCCCCCGCAGGGTGTGCGTCCGGCCCCAGCCACCATGAGCCCCGAGGCCACGGACAAATCACAGCCCCCTCTGCTTTGGCCCCTGATAATGGCTACGAGAGGTCCCCGTGCCCCCGCGGAGCTGACGTGGGACATCCACAGGGGTCATGGGGGAAAGGCTCTGGGAATGAGGCCCCAGGCTGGGCGCGGGGGAGATCCTAGCCTCCTGCCCCTGCGGCTCTCACTCGGCTCCTCACTCCTCACTCCTTCCCAGTGCAAGCTGCCTACGTCCTCATCCCAGGAACATTGACACACCGACAGAAACGGGGCTGGACCCACGAGACACACAGCAGGGAGCACGGGCGGAGACACAGGGCTCGGGGAAGCCATGCGGCGCACACAGGACAGCAAGACACAGACGCGTGGCCGGACGCCCTGCGAGCGCCCGTGGCCCGCGGCCCTGCGCACCTTACCTCGGAAGTAGGGGACGTAATGATGTCTGAACACGGATGTAGGGCTTGGGTGTTGGGACAGGGACAGGCAGCTACTAGTACCAACACTCACAGTACCAGCTGCAGGCAACAGAAAGCAAGTCAGAGTCCGCCCCGGGCCCGCGAGCCGCAAAGCCACAGCATGGTCCTAGGCCCCGCTCCACCAGGGACATTCGCGCTTCCTCTCCCGAAGAAGGCACACCCTTGTGAGGCCCCTGACGGGGAGTCACCAGATGCGCTTTAGACTCTGAGTGAGGAAGCCCGGCCCTCTGAGGGTCAGGGTGGCAGCCCCGGGCTCCAGAGCCCTGCCTGTCCCTCTACTGGGGGCTCCTTGGCTTCAAAGGCAGGTGGACAGCTGCTGGCTGGATCCGGGCGAGTGTGCACCTGATGGGCACCCGGCCGCGTCCCGCTGAGATATGCGTCTTGGCTCTCTGAGGTGAGCACCTGGCCAGGCACTGCCAACAGGCCCGGGTGACCCAAAATACGGTGCTCGGGGGTCGGGAGAGGGGCCTTCGGAGAGGGCGCCTGGGGAGCCTGACTGCCCTTCACCCCTCACTCGCCTGCTCACCTGCTCGCTCATCAGTCACTCATTCACTCGTTCACTCACACACTCGTTCACTCACACACTCGCTCACTTGCTCACTCATTCACTCGCTCGCTCACACACTCGTTCACTCACATACTCGCTCGCTTGCTCACTCATTCACTCTCTCACTTGCTCACTCAGTCACTCCCTCACACACTCGCTCACTCATTCACTCACATACTCATTCGCTCACTCACACACTCGCTCATTCACTCACACACTCACTCATTCACTCATTCGATCGCTCATTCATTCACTCGCTTGCTCGCTCACTGGCTCATTCACTCATTCATTCGCTCACTCACACACTCGCTCATTCACTCACACACTCACTCATTCACTCATTCGATCGCTCATTCATTCACTCGCTTGCTCGCTCACTGGCTCATTCACTCGCTCACTCACACACTTGCTCACTCACACATTCATTCACACACTCACTCACACACTCACTCGTTTACTCAGTGACTCCCTGACACACTAACTCGCTCACTTATTCACTCAAGCTCGCTCACCCACTCGCTCGCTCACTCACACACTCATTCACTCACACATTGATTCACTCACTCACACACTTGCTTACTCACTCATTTACTTGCTCACTCACTCATTCACTCACACATTCATTCATTCACTCATTCACTCACTAATTCACACACTCGCTCACTTATTCATTCACTCACTCACTGGCTCACTCATTCACTCACTCACACACTCGCTCACTCACTCATTCACTCACTTGCTCACTCATTCATTCACTTACACACTTGCTCACTCACTTGCTTGCTCACTCAGTCACTCCCTCACACACTCACTTGCTCACTCACTCATTCACTCACACACTCATTCACTCACTCACACACTCGCTCATTCACTCACATTAATTCACTCGCTTGCTCGCTCACTGGCTCATTCACTCACTCATATACTTGCTCACTCACACGCTCATTCATTCACACTCACTCACATACTCGCTTACTCAGTCACTCCCTCACACACTAACTCGCTCACTCACTCATTCACTCACACACTCGTTTGCCCACTCACACACTCACTCATTCATTCACTCATACATTGATTCACTCACTCACACTCTTGCTTACTCATTTACTTGCTCACTCACTCATTCACTTGCTCACTCACTCATTCACTCACACATTCATTCATTCACTCATTCACTCACTCATTCACTCACTCGCTCACTCACTCATTAATTCACACACTCGCTCACTTATTCATTCAGTCACACACTCACTGGCTCACTCATTCACTCACTTACACACTCACTGGGTCACTCACTCACTGATTCATCTACTTTCCACTTATTGAGCAGGATGTTCCAAGAACATTGCAGGTAGTCAATGAAAATAACTTTGCAAATGAATGAGTTGATTTTTCCACAAAGGCTGCGAAAATTAGAGCTGTAGCCCATGGATGTGGAAATGGAGTCATGCAGCAGCTGGCCAAGGAGGAAGCAGCTTGGAAAAATCCCTCACAAAGGCAGTGTGTGCATGGAGTGTCCCTGGGGCTTTGACACACCGAGGGTAACGATGAGTTTTCGAAGCTAAGGGTGAGCAATACACAGCTGGGTGCCAGGCAGGAAAGGAGGTGGGCTGGGGGTAGAGAGCACCCTGCCCCGGGTGTCTCCCTGCCAGGAGGGTGCAATAAGCCCTCACCAATGTTCCCACAGGGCTGGCTGTCTGTCTTCAGGGCCACCATCCTAGCTACAGGTGAAGAGGGTCAATAGATATTCTCACTACTTTTTGGCCATTGACGCTGCCCTCATAGCTCAAACCCCCCCAGACCCAGATGAGCCTGGGACTCACGGACCTCTGGTCTCCCACATTTACGCTCCTTTAGCTTCCTGACATCTCCTGCGACTAAAACATTTCTAAGTGCTCGGTGCTGCTCATGTGTTTCACCGGACGGCTCCTCTAACCAGCAGGGTAACCAGCTGCCTCCGCAGCGGTCCTCCCCTCCCAGACACGAGGGGCCAACCTTCGTGGACACGTGACCCGGCCAGGCTCTCCCATCACCCGCTGGCCATCCCGCACCCGGCCCGTCATTTTTCCGGTTGTGTAAAGGAAGAGACAGAGTCAGAAGAGGGAAAGCAGCGAGAGGTACAGCTTCATCCGGGCTCAAAGAAGCCACGGGGGCTAAGTACCTGGACGGCTGTAGTGCTGGGGTGACCGTGAGGTCGGGGTGTAGCGCCCGAGGCTGACTGACCCGGTGGAGCTCGGGCTGGAGGTCCGGCACTGCTTGCATGAGCGGTCATCCTGGTCCCCCTGGGAGGGAAGAAGGCCTGGTGAACAGCAGAGCTGAGGCACTGCCCACCCCCCACGCATTCACCCTCCTCCTGGCGGTTGCCCTCTGGACTGGAGAGGCTGACTCAACGTGGCCCCAGGACGAAATCCTCTGCATCTGCCAGGGCACCCGAGGAGCCAGGTAGGGGTCAGGCCTCGTGGCGACACTCCCCGTGGCCTGAGCACAGCCCCAGCACCCCCAGATCCCAGAGGGCAGAGTCTCCATCAGCCCCTCCCTATGGCTGGGCTCTGGAAGAGGGGTGGTGGAGGCACCTGGCTCCCCAGCACCCCTCAGCGCCCCTCCTGCCCCATCCTCCCCAGCACCCAAGCTCCTTACAACCACGACATTTTGAGATCTTCGAGAACCGTTAGATTCTGCATTCTCCCCCCGCCTACCACCCAAGGGGGGCTCCTACGTGTGGGACGTAGGAAGGCACCCCTCCCAGGCCCAAAGGCCCAGTTGAGTCAGACCCACAAGCATTGGCCCACGAGACTCCATTCAAGCAGCATGAGCAACGGTTGGGAGCGGTCAGAGCAGGCGGCAGGTGGCATGAGATGGCATGACACCGTGGCGTGGGGGAAGGGCAGGCAGTTGGGCCCCCCACGGCATGGCACGCTGGCCGGAGTCCTGGGACGGCCCAGCCCGGCAGCCCGCTGTTGGGGGGGACGCTCCTGCTTTGCCCCTGAGTCCAGCACGGGGGTAAGCACAGGAGAGGGGAGAGTCTAGGTTTGGAGCTCACAGCTCTCACGCTTTCTGAGCCGACCTTCTGCCTCCGAAGGCTTGTCCTTCGGCAGAACCCACTGAGCCACTGTCCCTAACACCTGCCCGTGCCCCCACCTCCACGCTTGGCTCAGGCCGGTCCCCAGGCTGGGATCACACCCACCAGCTGTCACCTGGCTTCGTCCTGAGCCCACCTGGCCCGTCCCACCCACGGCGATGGGTGTTCTCTCCTTGGGGTGGCGGCTTCTCTGGGCATCCTCCACACAGCCCCACTGGCTAGTTTCTACCCCACGGGCATCCCTTCTCCTCGCTTAGCCTGTCCGAGGGCCTGGCCGGCCATCCTGTGGTTTTCGAAGCTCGGCACTGATGGCCACTTGCCCGGTCTGGTGGGCGCATTCCTGGATCTGAGGGTTCAATGCCCATGCAGACGGGAGTCTGGTGGGCACCTGTCCATACCACTGAGTGGCTCTGGGAAACAGAAAGACAGAGCTGCGGATATAAATGCTATTTGATAGAAAAATGCTCTCGGAATACCCGTCTGCAAGGATCTGGGTGCTCCATATGTCCCACTCAGAGCAGCGTGAGGTGGGCCCAGGCTAACCCAGGCTCCTGGGTGTTTTCTCTACAGGAAGCCATGAGCCAGACCTCAAGAGAGCCATGTCCCATGTGTCTGCCACTGCAGGGACGACAGGTGCACCACAGAAGCATGAAGATGAGATGTGATTATAAAAATAACCAACACCGAGGACGGCATTTCAGGCCACCGAGGACCATGGCCCCATGACCCAGATGGTCAGGAGCCGCAGAGGCCCTTCTGGGGGTGCCATGGGCGGTTATGTTTATAACCCGGGCGGCAACACCATGAGTGAGAGGGGGCGTTGGCTGGGGGACAGGTGGTTACCTCTGTCGGCGTCGGCGAGAGTACCTGTGGGGACTGTGGATACAACACACAGAGTGGCCTGTTAGGTCGCTGGGAGTGGGGGGGCAGAAACAGCAAAGGGCACAGACACGTCCTCATGCCCAGACCCTCCTCCAAACGGGAAAGGAACCCCACCACGAGACATGACGCAAGATTCCAGAACCTTCTTTTTGGAGAAATACAGTCAATGGCACCCTGAGAAAGGGGTCCCCAGGACACTTCTTTGGGCCAACCCTGGAGTGCGCCTCCACAACGGCCCACCCTGACGCCCACTGCTCCCTCGTGAGGACATATTTTCCAAAAGGAAGACCATCAGTTTGGGGTGGGAGATGACAACATCCTCTGAGCCCGGCAGCCTTGGTTTTCCCCAGAGAGGAGAGACAAGCGGCCCAGAGAAAGGAGGGCAGTTCAGGGCCTCGGGGTTTGGGGATTCCCCCTCTCTGCAGAATGGAAAGGGAAAGTGTCCCCCAATCCTCCCATTTCATGGAAGGGGAGACTGAGGCTCAGGCCACCAGCTGGCAAATCGCTTTTCCTACCTATCCTGGGCACCCACGGCCACACTCGAGTCTCAACACCACCAAAGGGCAGGGAAAATCAACAGCGGACTCCACGTGAGATGGAGAGGAGCCGTGAGAACCAAGTCACCGGGGAAGGACACGCCTGAGGGACACCAGGGAATCCACCGTGTGTGGTCCAAACAGGTGGTCAGACCAGCGCAGGGGGTTCATGAGACGGGGGGCGGGGGCAGGCCAGCTGCTGAGGGCGGCAGATTGCCTCCACACCAGCATGTTTCCTAATTCCTCCCCCAGCGAAGGAGACCCTCCGCGAGGGTGGGGGCAGAGCCCCTGGGGACTCTTGAAAGGGGATGCGCACAGGCCATCGGAGGGGATCACAGGAGGCCGGCGGTCAGAGGGGGCGGAAGCGGACGCGGCCCTTGCCGTGGGCACACCACCCGCTGCGGGGGCCGTACCTCGTGGCAGCTCTGCCTGCCCGCCGCCGAGTGGCTGATGTACGGCGAGTAGGAGATCATGTCGGGGCGGTCGATGTTGTAGATGGCCTTGCTTTTAGGAAGAGCAGCCAAGTCCCTGTAGTCGAGAATCTCATCGCCCAGCTTCGCCTGAGAGACAGAGAGCGGAGGGCACAGTAGCTCCACAGCCCAGAGGGCAGCAGGTGCTCTGGCAGCCGTGGGGACAGCGGGGCCCAGCCCAGGACCCAGGCTCCGTGGAATGGGGTAAAGGGGCAGAGGCACATGGCCAGGGAGTCCTCACAGTCACGTGGGCCTGGGTCCCTCGGCCCCCCCACGGAAGACCACAGAGTCCTAAGGAAGTGTATTCTCTGAGCCTCTACTTCTCTCCCTGCCAAGTGGGACAGATGGTTGCATAGGACAGCCCCAGGGTCAAAGAGGTAGAGCCTGTCACCTGTCTGGCACAGAGCCCAGCAGACCCCGAGACTCAGCCGAGGGCCTAAACATACCTACACACATCTCTGTGTGCACACACACAAACCCATACAGGCACATCAACCACATATGTGTGCATAGAGGCAAATGCACACACATTTATATGAACATGCAAATACCTGGATGCACATGCATAATGCACACCCACAAACACGCATAACATGTATGTGTGCACGCACGCACACCCATGTGTGAGCACATGCAAATGAAAACACACCCATATACAAACACACATGTGCAACAAACACATGTGCACACACAAGACATGTGCATATGCAAACAGGCGCATGCAGGCGCTTAAAGTCATGCGCACACATACACGTGTCTGCGTGCAAACACACATGTCCGTGCACATGCATTTAAACACACACCCAGTGGGTGCATATATGTACGCACACGTGCAAGCACTGGGCATCCACTCCTGCACACGTACGCACGTGCACAGAGGACGCGCCTACAGCAGAGCTCGTGTATACACTCACACACCTCTGCCCACTCACTCACGGCCACTGCCAAACACTAGCACACACACTCGCACGCCCCCTCACACGCCCACACTTGCAGGCACAGCACACACTCACTCCCTCACCCAGCACACACACTCGCACATACACTCACACACGCTCACACACCAATCCACATTCACACCCAACTCACACCCACACATGTAACACATGCACACGCACACACTCCCGTGTAATAGCACACGCTTGCACACATGATCACACTCGCACAAACCACTGCACACTCGCACACGTATTTGCACTCACACACTGGAGATATAGCAGCAAAGGGCCTGACACTGGACCGGCTGGCTGGCTGCGACAGGACTGCAGGTGGGGCCAGGACCGCACCCGGCCCGCAGCAGGTGCTCACGGGTGATGCACGCGGAACCACTGCATCTGCTCACGTGAAGGCCACCTGACCACCCGCTCTCCTGCATCGCCCTCCCCTGCATCGCCCCACCACCCCTCCCTGCTCCAGGGGGCTGCAGAGGCCATGCGGCAGGCTGAAACAGGTCCCTGAGCGGGGCAGGGCCACACCCACACAATCCTCAGGTGTCACAGCAGGAACCATCATCTGTGTCGGTCCCCGTGTTCCTGCTGTGGGTGCCAACGTTCCCCTCCATCCCGGAGCGGACACACGTGGTCACCTCTTCCCCACCATGCCCCCTTCTCAGCATTAATCTCAGCCTGGCCTTACCGGACGCCAGGCTGCCCCCACCAACTTGGCTCTACCTGAACCCCAAGGGAACCTTCTGCTCAACCCCAGTGTCCCCCAGTGACCGGGCCAGGGCCAGCATGGGCCCACACTCTTCTCTGTGGTGGGACTAGCTGTCCCTTTCCAGCCCAGGCGGCTCTGGTCCAGGCCCTCGGTGCTCACATCTAGGCCAGGCAAGAGCCTCCGGGGGCATTCCTGCCGCACTTGCTCTGAACAGACATCGCTGACAGAGGCTGCTAGCACTGTGAGCTCTTCCCTGGGATGGCCTTGGCCTAAGGCTTTTATTATCTGCTCACCAAATACTCACGACAAGCCCGTGACGGGGGGCACCCACAGTTCCTTCACTTCATAGATGCGGAAAGCAGAGCCCAGAGAGGTTACATAGCTCACCCAGAGTCACACAGCCAGGGAGGTATGGGGTGGGAAGAGGCCCGGGTCGTCGGGCTCCAGAGCCGGGCTCCCCACCATCGCCCTCCCCTGGAGCTCCAGCTCCAGCACACTGTCCTCCAGCTCAAATCCTCCGGCAGGGTCTCCGGGTGCGCGATGCAAGCCCTCACTGCAGTCCCCAAACGCAGGTTGACATTCCCGGCCCACTCCCCCTGAGGTATCTCCTCCCTGTGCCCCCAGCATGCCAGGCTCAGCCCTGGGTTCAGTAGCCCCAGCCCACCTCCCCTAGGAAGCCTTCCCTGACCACCCGACTCCAAGGCTCTCATGAGCTGGTGGGTGCTCTTGGGGTGAATGCTGCCATTTGTGATATAGTTTGAGAGAGGGAACGTCTGATGTCTCAGACCTCTGACTCCTCCCTGTGGAGCCCTGGGCAGGGTTCAGAAGACCTGAGTTCAAATCCTAAGTCTGTCGTTTGTAGTCAGGATGGGCCCTGATCAGAATTTCTGAGCAGTTCCCTAGGGGCTCTTGTGCACCTGCTTATCCTAGCGGCCCATTCCTCTGCCCATACTGTCTACCACGCTGAGCTCCTTACGGCTCCCCGGCCGTCTGGAGCCCAACGGCTCAGCACCTGCTGCTCTCTCTCCCAGGCCCCTTGGCCTGCTCAGCCGCTGGCTCTTCCAGACTCAGTCCAGGTCTCCCTCTCTGAGAGACCGTCCCTGCTCCCCTCCACCACTTGGGTTGGATGCTTATCTCCTTTCCTGCTCCCCTCCACCATTTGGGTTGGATGCTTATCTCCTTTAAGTGAAGGTGCCGATGTTGGCTGGTGCACCAGTCTCCCCTTCTCTGGGACTGGTGGTTTCTGGGGGTCCATGACTCGATCTGTTTCATTACGGAGTCCCTCTCCCTAACTCCGTGCCTGGCACGGCAAGATCCTTGGGACACGTTTGCCAAACTGAAGTAAAATCCATGGGGCATTTGCCAAAATCAGGTGGATTCTCTGGACCATTTTACAAGACGAGACTACCACCTACATCTTGCCCACCCTCTGGATTTCATGAGCCTCAGATTAAAGCTGACACTGGAATGAGGGGCTGGGTGAGGCCTGCATTCACAGGTCCCTGCACAGGCGGACCCCCTTCCCTGCCTCGGACCCCGCTATGATCAGAGCATCGCCCGTCTGCGGGTGTCAGCCCGCTGCGCACGGGTCAGCGAGCCCTGGGTCAGCCCCTGCTGATCCCCGAATGGCACGGATCAGAGAGGTGGCCTGAGGGCACCACACCGCTCGCGCCTGCCCTGGACAAGTGGCTCTGCTCCCGGCTCCTCAGCATCTGCCCTGCGCAGCAGGCGCACAGATCCGTTTCGTCCCTCTGCTGGCCTTGGGGCGGTTGCTGTGACAACGGGCTACGCTCTAATTGGCGGAAGGCCACTGGGACGTGTATATGTTCCTGTGATTTCTCCTTGCTTTTTTCTCTCCATACTCCGTCCAGCATGATAAACGATAATAACATATGGCCATCGACGACAGTGGAGTTACAATAAGCTCTCACCAATAATACACTGTCATGTAATAATGCTGATTTTCGGCTTCACCTAGTTACTGATTCACTGCCATGCTGAAGAAAGGTTACAAACACAATATTCAGCATGACCTCATTTGGGTTAAAAAAAAATACAGCGCAAAGAGACCTAGGGGCGTGCTGCCCAGTATGAGTGGTGGCTACTCTGGGTGGTCAGATAGCGCATGGTATTCATCTTCTCCTGTGCCGCTGGGATCCTTCCAAGCTGGGATCCTTCCAAGCTGCAGCAGGGATCGGGGCCCCCCTCTCGAGGCCCAGCACTGAGCATGGTGTCAGGTATGCAGTAGGCCCACTGCAGACCCCAGCAGAGAGACAAGAGAAAAAGCAGGGCAGAGCCCTGAGAGAGGACTCACGCCCCCTCGGTGAAGGAGTTCCGTGGATGTGCACCGACTGGATGCTCACACCACCCTGGTTTGGGGGGAGGAGTGGACAGCCAGGTGCTCTGGCCCGTGGCCTGCCTGGCGCCCAGGAGGGCGGACGTGTCCAGGCTGGGCGCTGGCCGCGGTGCTTGGAGCCCACGTGTGGCCACAGGACACGTGTGCTCTTGGGTGGGGGCTCCGAGACTTCGCACTGTGATGCAGACGACTTTCTGCAGGTCTCTGAGCGGCATCTGAGAGTGGCTGCAGCGACCCGGGGAGGGAGGGGGAGGAGGAGGAGGAGGAGTGCGGGGTGCGTCGAATGCTCCACTGTGCACCGTCATGGGGCCTTTCAAGGATCTGTGACCACAGTGGCCAGCGTCACTGCTCAACACATGGTCACGACAGTACCTCGGTCCTTGTCAAACACCAGATCGTTTAAAAGAGGAGCTCACGCCTAGCGAGCAGTCACCACGTGCCGCGCGGCCACAGCGGCCACGGAAGCCGGGCCCCCTGCTAAGCACTCCACTGACCTTGTCTCGTTGAAGTAACAGGAATCATAGCTAAGATCTCTCACGACATTGACGGCACCGTGGGCTGCATTACGTCCTGCCAAGTCCGTGTTTTGAAGCCCTCACCCCGAGGACCTCAGGTGGGACTGTGTTTGGAGATGGGGTCTCTTTACAGAGGTAAGTGAAATGAGGTCACGAGGGTGGACCCCGATCCCATCAGACTGGTGACCTTAGAAGAAGAGACTAGGACACAGACATGCACAGAGGGACGACCCCGTGAGGACGCAGGAGAAGACTTCAAGCCAAGGAGGGAGGCCTCAGGAGAGCCAGCCCCGCCCACACCCGGATCTCAGGCTCCCAGCCTCCCGGATGCGGAGAGAACGCATTTCTGTGGTTGGAGCCACCTGCCCTGCGGGATTTATTTGCTACGGTGGCCGAGCTACGAGCGCAGATCTCATACTGATCATCATCGCAGTGAGCATATGCAAAGTCCTCCCTCTGGCCCAGGGCTGCACTCAGGGTTCCCACGCTGTCCCTCCGCGGGCCCTGGACAGCAGGTACTGTGGGTCTTCTCTGGCACAGGTAAGCTCTCGGAGGCTCAGAGAGGTTCACTCCTCACCCAAGGGCACACAGCTGGTCTGATGACTCCATACCCCCTTCCTGAGCCTCTGAGTGCACATTCACTAAGGGCCACGCTGCGATTCATCTTCGGGGCTCGTGATCATCACGTTCCCCCGAGGACTAGACTGCATGGTATTGTTACCCATCAGAATTAGGGTCAGGAATGACTCTGCATCCAACTAGTATGAGATTCAGGGCTGAAAAGGCGTCAGGAAGAGCAAATCCAACCCCACTGTGTGAGAGATAACAGAGGTCCTGGCCGGGTGGGAAGGGGATGGGAGAAGTGACGTGCCCCAAGACACCTGCTGTTCCTTACAGTGGTAGAGCCAGGCCCAGACACCCAGTCCAGGGCTTGCCCCTCCCCCAGCCTGCACCTAGAGCCTCGGGCTCTTCCTCAGACAATGGAGTTTGGTACTCACAGGTAAATTAGCAAAAGTACTAACCTCCCACTGCTGAACCTGCAGCCCAGAGGTAGTTGCTATTTTTATACTTGTATGTGCACACACACACATCCCCATATGCACACGTACACACCCACACACCACCCATATGCACACACACACACCTGTACACACCCCCATACACATACGCCCTTTAATGAAAATGGCATCGTGTAACATACTATCTTTAACATGCTTCTCGCAGGAACACATTGGACACACTTCCCAGGGTAACAGGTGCAGATCTGCACCACTTCTGACAGCGCCTGCCCAGTCCTACGTGAGCCTGAGTATCAGGTACTCAGACAAGTCTTAGCTGTGGCGCGGGGATGCAATACTGATTTGACTGCCCTGTGGACAACAGTTGTGAGCACAGCTCTTTGGGCACCATGGCTGTGTAACCAGGCAGTCCCCGGGTGGTATGACAGTCCTCACCGAAGGCTCCCAGTTAACCTCCAAAAGTCTGCACCGGCCTGTGCCCCGTGGCAGGGGTGAGAGGGCCGGCCCCACACCCTGACGCCTGAGGACACCCCAGCCCCCAAGGGCACCCCAGCAATGACCCAGGCCCGGATCGAAGCACCACCAGCTTCCCCACTCTCCAACTCACATAGATCACGCGGCTTGGAGACCCCGAGGTGCTGGAAGCAGGTACAGAAATGATGCTCTCGGAAGAGCTTCTGGTTTCCTGGATAAGGAGACAGGAGGAGAATGAAAGCAGAATATGTCGATGCTGGAACCTTCCAGATGCAATTATCACAGGTCACACTCCAACAGAAATGCCAGTTATGAGACTTTTTTTTTTTGGGCAGGTTGAAAGAATTCTTAAAATAAACACACAGGCTTGAATGAGCCACTGGAAAGCTATAATCAGACAGACACAGCAGGTGACGCGGGCTGCAAGCATGGCAGCCAGCTCTCTGCACGGCTGGAAACGCTCCGATGATCACCCGGCTTGCACGCACGGAAATTATCTGTGTTCCCGAGGACAAGAGCAAGTGATGCATTTTCAAGTGGTTCTGCGGGCTCTGGTAGCAAAGGCCATCCTTTTACCCAGAATGTTGCTGCTCAGAGGTGTTATTTTCCGCCTAGGTTATGGGGGTGGGGGTGATTGCTCATTCTAGCAGCCCGGTCCTCCGCTGTCGGACTCCGCGGCCACCACATCTGTGACCTGCTCCTCGAACGTCCACCCCATCCTTCCTCCTTCCCCTATCACATCTCCTGCTTCGCCCCAGGGGATGGTTTCCCTGGCCCCTCCTCTGTCCCCTGCATCGGGGTCGCCCATCCCTGCATGGACACCCTCCTTCTCCAGCTCCCAACCCACTCTCTATGCCTGTGTCTCTCCCCACCTGTAGGGCGTGACCTGGCGGGTGCCCACACCGCCTGATCCAGCCTCCACCCCTGCCTGGACCACCCACTGCCTGGCTTTCCCATGCCTCCCCAGCCAAGGACGCGGACCTGCCTCCCCACCCCGCGGACAGCTCCCCCTGGCTGCCTCCTCTCGGTGGCCCACGCCCACTGCAGGGGTGTCAGCAGCCTGGGAAGGGCCACGTCACAGGCTGAATTATGTCTCCTGAAACTCATATGTTGAAGCCCTCACCCCTAGCACCCCAGAATGTGACCCTGTTTGGAGAGAGGACATTTAAAGACGTAATTAAGGGAAGATGAGATCACTAGGGTGGGTTCTGATCCAAGCTGACGGGGGTCCTTAGAAGAAAAGGGGATCAGGACACAGACACGCACAGAGGGACGACCGCGTGAGGACACAGGGAGAGGGCAGCTGTCTACATGCCATGGAGAGGCCTCGGAAGGAACCAACCCCGCCCGCACACTGAGCCAGGACCCTCAGCCTCCGGGACTGGGAGAGGATACATTTCTACTAGTTGAGCGACCAGCCTGCAGCATGTTATGCAGTGGGCCCAGGACACTATCACGGGCTGTGGAGCCCTCCCCTCCCAGCTAGAGGACCCCCAGCTCCTCCTTCACTCAGCAGGACAGCAGCGAGGACAGGACAACATCAGGAGCAGATGGGAGGCCTCTAAGGCCTGGGGAACTTGATTGCAGCCCTGGTTGTGCATCTGGGGAGGAAAGAGTAGACGGAGAGGGTGCGATGCTCGGGGTCACCTCCTCACTCGCCCACGCATCAGTGCTGGTCTGTCACGTGGGGGCCTCCCATGCTCCCATTGACGGCCAGCTTCCTCCAGGACCAGGCATGGGGCCGCCCACTCCCCTCGGGGCCTGCCCTGCCTCCCAGGGCCCTGGCTGTGCCCCAGGGCTAAACGGGGCACTGACCCAGGGCTTCCGAGGGCCAGTGGGACACAGCCTGACCCCACTGTGCAGTCTTGAGTCATCGGCCTCCCCCAGGTCAGACACAGTATCCCATACTGTTTGCAGAGAAGATCCTGAGACAGCTAACGGGTGTGTGTCTCTCCCTGGCCCTGTGTGCAGGTGGCCCATCTTGCCGGGCCCAAATGAGGTCCGTACACATTTTATACATTTGGAAAAAACCCTTTCAGTCTCTGCTTCCTTCTCTATAAAAGGGAAAAACCTCCCTAAAAGGCACTTTCCCTTTCTGAGGATGCGACTAGAGCTATGACATGCTGGGGGCCCGGTGCCAGCAAATCATCTTTGCTGTTACTTCAGCTCAGCTTGGGCTCAGGACAGTCTGTAAAGCAGACTGACTCCGGTGTTTTAAAGGAAGGGGTGCCTAAGCAGCGTGACCCAAGGACTGCCCCGTGCCTGAGGAGCACCTCCCGGCCCAGGGGCGCTACCACCATGACCAGGGCGCTTGGGCTGCCTCAGTGCCCGCGGGGGCTGGCTGTGCTCCAGCCCCTGCAAGCCGTCCCCAGCGGGCAGCCCCTCCCTCTGTGCCCTGTCCCCAGACGGGAGGGAGCCGAGTCCCGGGAGCTTCCTCCAGGGCCCAGAGACCCGGCTTCCTCTCACTTTCTGTCTGGACTCCAAACGCCCAAAGGAGCCTCACAATTAATCAATACCCAGTTGTGTTCTCAGGGGCTTGTTCACACCCGCAGAGACAGACGGGGCCGGGCTGCTCGCCCAGCCCCAGCACCATCCCCAGCCTGGCCCAGACAGACACTGTCCTGTAACAGCGACTAGGGCAGCTAGCATTAAATGGAGAGGAGTGGGTGTTGGACCCCTTGAACCGTGTCAGTGTGACTTGTATGTGACCCCGTGAGGACCAGGTCGCCCGTCTCAGGCATCTCTGCGTCTCAGGCATCTCTGCGTCTCAGGCATCTCTGCTAGCCAGAAGGTGCTCAGCAGGAGCTCAGTGGCTAGCCGTGCGTGGAATGATCACACGACCCAAAGACCAAGGATGCACCAGGTCCGCACCCTCAGCGGACACCCAGGAGCCATCCTTGTCCTGGGGAGTGGCCGTGCCCCCGGGGGATGCAGTCAGGGAGGACAGAGGGCCCTCCCTCTCCTAGTCTGTCCTGGGGGATCCCAGCACTGGCCTCGCCTGCTGGAGAGGAACTCGGAGGCACGGACCGACCTGGTCCAATGGGTCCCAGAGCCTAGCAAGGAGGGGCACTTGTTAAATGACTGGTTACTGGTCAATTAATGGTGAGTTAGCTATTGTCTGGATTACCAGGTAGCAGTAGATCCAGCTCCACCTGGGGGCCACTTTCAGAGAGAGTTAGTGATGCCCGCACCACCTCTGCTGTGTTTCTCAGGGGCCGGCCTCGGCGAGCGGACCAGGGGCTGACCCGGGGCTGACCCGAGGCTGACCAGGGGCTGACCCGGAGCTGGCTGCTTCATGCTCCTTAACCGGCTTGCACGAAATGAACAGTACAGGAAAGTACAGCTCTGTTGTCCTGTCTTGCAGGCCAGGATCAGCCAGTCTGGCCAGGAGAACTATCTATAAGGGGACCCGTGTGCCAGCCCCGCCCCGGGTCTGTTCTCACTTCTCCGAGACAGAGGAGGCTCTGAGGGGCCGGAAGGAGGGAGGGAGGGTGAAATGCGGGACAAGCAGGCATGACCGGGGCCTGGATCCTGTCCCAGGACACAGAGGGCAGGCCCTGTGCGCGCCAGCCTCGGGCACGGCACCAAGGAGGGAACTCTTCTCAAGGGACGGCCTTGGCACCAGACGTTCGCGGGGCGTCTGCAGAGACACAGCCCAGGAAGCCAGGCCTGGCTGGGCAATGACCCTTTCCTCCTTCCCTGTCCGGCATTCAGACGACCTCCCTACCTCTGGGCCAGTGGCCGCGGTCATGGCGGGCTGACCTCTGGGCTGAGAGCACAGGGGCCTGCTGCTGCCAGGCCTGGCCGGACCTGGGCTCCCTGCAGGCCCCGAGGCCAGCTCCACGGCCGGCTCCAGAATCCAGGGGCAGGGCTGGCCCTCCCGACCTGTCCTTGAGTGGGCCGGCCGCGGGCTGACTCCCCCTTTCTCACCCGGTCACTCTCAGGAGACGGGTCTGGAGGCTTCTCAGCACGTGGGCTCCCTCCAGGTCCCTCTGGCAGGCCTTCGGGTTGGGATTCGGGGAGGGGTCCACCGACAAAGGTCAGGGCCCTGCGGCCACTTCTAGGTGAGGGATGCTGCCTGGCTCATCTCTGAGGCCTGGAGTAGCCCAGGGGCGGTTACAGAGGGGATCGGGAGCTGTGTCAGCCACGGGAGACCAGGGCGCCCCTGCCACTTACCGTGACCCGAGTCGTGTACATGACCAACTGGGCCCTTCCTGCCCTCCATGAGCACACGAGCATGCCCACGCCTGCGAACGTATTACCACGTGCGACCACAGGGACTCCCAGCCTGATGCGACTAAGGAGCCTGGGGTGGTAGGCCAATCCCGGTGCCGTGGGTGGACTCCCTGGGATCTCAGGTGAGGAGGGCACGGGGGAGGGGGTCAGGGTACAGGTGGTGACAGAGGCGGGGTCAGGAGCAGACCGCGCGGCCTCCGGACCCGGGAACGGACGGGGAGAAGGCTCTCCCTGGAGCCTCCAGAGCGAGCACAGCCCTGCGCCCCCATCCTCGACTTCTGGCCTCCAGAAGGAAGGGAGATGTCTGTGGTTCTTTAAGCCACTAAATGTGTGGTCATTCGTCACAGCAGCCCCAGGGACAAATACAATCAACAGCTTCCTCCCGTAGTCTCCACGCTCTGCGTCCCTGGAGCTGGGAGGTTGGCTGTCACATGGATCTGCCCCCCAACCTCACGTTCACACAGCTCCCCGCGCCCAGTGCTGGGCCTGGGACGGGGCTCATCCTGCACATGCTCAGTGCGAGCGCCCTGGGCCCCCTGGCAGTGGGGGGCCCCGTGGCCCAGGCAAGTGGCGGCAACAGTGGTCCCAGAGATGGAGGAGCAGGGCAGGGGGACGGCGGGGCAGGCGCTCCCGGCCCCAGTCCCAGTGTTCTAGAATTTGGGCTACAGTTCTGCGAATTCAGCCAAACTAGTGGCAGGCATCATCTGTGTGCCTGGGGAGCAGTGGGCCTGGCCACTGGATCCCCCCGAGGTCCATTCCCAGGCTGTGGGGCTTCCTGTGCCCCTTGCTTCCTTCTGCACGCTCTGCGAGGACACTCGGGTGACGGAGGAGCAGACACAGGTGTGGCCTAACCCAGGGTGCAGGGGCCACAGACCTGCCCTAGGGTGCCTTGCCCCTGCACTGCAGCTCCTGCCACTACCTGTATGCCGGGGGCTGGACCCCTGGGCCTCTAACCCTCAGGGCCCCTCCCTGTCTGCACCCCCAGGCCCGCGGCTTGAGCAGCATCCAGCTGGCGGTCTGTGTCCACCAGGGCTAACACGGGGGCTCTCCAGGCCGAGCGCGCCTCCTCTCCGCGGGCGTCAAAGGGGACCCTCTGAACTGGATTAAACCAGAGGCCTTTGTAGACACTTGAGGACTCTGAGCAAAGCAACCGGCACCACTTGAGAAACAAGGTCACAGATGAAGGGCAGGGCCGGCCCTAGAGAGGAGCCCAGGGCGCAGTCCCCACCTTCGGGCCCAGCCTGGCGTCCACAGAAAGGGGTTGAGCAACAGCGTGAGGCTGTCGCGGGTGAGGGGAGGCCTGGGGGACACAGAGGAGGTGCCTCTTCTCCACGGAGCCCTCCTATCCCGGCCCAGGGCCCCCCTGTGCTCGGGTCCCCGTGGCCATCAGACATGATGTGCACGTGTGCCCCCGCATGCCCAGAGCATGTGGGGGCAGGACTCCATCAACCTCGGTGTCCTGGGCCAAGAGCAGGGCCTGGCACAGCCAGAGGCTTGGCGAAGTTGTGCTGAATGACTGAGGGTGAGCCGTGAGAGATGCGTGGGAAGCGGGGGCTTCCAAACCCACTGGAAGCCATTTCTAAGGGAAATGGGGGATTGTCCCTCTGCTGGCTTCCTTCAGCGCAGGCCTATCGAGAATTTGCCGCACTGGGTTGGGGCCCACCCACCTGCGGGGGCCGGTGTGGGGAGTGTCTCCTCCACCAGCCAACACCCCTGTGAAGCTCAGAGGCCCAAGTCTGTGGGGTCTCCCTCCAGCCCCACGAGAAATTCCCCAAACCTGCAAGTTCTGGGGATGGGACCAGCTTGGGCTTGCTGATAGGGCTGTGTCCACGCTGTAGAGCTAAGGGTGAGGGGTCTGTCCGCCCTGCCCGGGGCCCTGTCTCCAGGACCGCCAAGTCTCAGCCTGCAGACTTAGCTCTGACCCCATTTCCTCCGGAGGCCTTTCCTGACCGTGCGTCCGGCCTCCCCTCCTCCCGTCCACTGGCGTCCTCGGTCCCCCACCAACAGCCTTTGCTGCAAATTTGCTTGTGTAAGGGTCAATTTCTGTCTCTCCCTGGAACGTCAGTCCCGAGAGAACAAGGTCCGTGCCCACCTCCTTCCTCACCTGTGCCTGGCGCCCAGCTGGGCCTCTGAGCGGTAGAGAATTTGGCCTCGCCCAGAGAGAGGTCCGGCCTGCACCCTTGACCCTGGAAGGTGATCTGTGTCCACTGTCAGAGTGTCCGTTCAGGGAGGGGGTGAACCACACCCAACAGTCTTAGGATGGGACCCGGACACACTGGAGAGACCAACCGTGTGATCTGGGGTGGTCTAGGGTCATGCCACCTGGACCTAGTGAAATCACTATGTCAATCAGTCAGTCAGTCAGTCAGTCAGTCAGTCAGTCAGTCAGTCAATGGAGCCCCAGTAAGATCTCTGGACACAGAGCTCCCCTGCTGGGCAATACTCCGGGCATGCGGTCCTACACAGGCTGGCAGGTCCCCCGTCCAGTCTCCAGGGCAGAGGAGCAGCTCTGTGTCTGCCCCCCTCCCAGACCCTGCGCCACGTGCCTCTGTCTTCGGCTCATTCCACGTGTATCCTCTCCTGTAATAAACCCCAACCGTGACTATCATAGTTTTCAGGGAGTCTGTGAGTCCTTCCCATGAATGACTGAGACTGATCACAATTTGGGGCCCCTCAACCTTGCAGTTGGTGTCCCAAGTGTGGACGGTCTGGGGACTATTTGGAGACCCGCTCATGTCATAGCTGTCCCCAAACTTTTGCAGCCCTCATGCCCTCTGGACCCATGGAGAGGCCTGCGGGCCAGGACAGGGAGGCCCCGAGATGCCCCGCCCCACCTCGCACCATCCTCAGCACCCCCAGGCCTCATGACACCTGGCCCGTGGCCTGGTGTGACCAGCCAGCGAGCCATCAGACGCAGGTGACGGCACATGGGCGCCGAAGAACACACCGGAGCAAGCAGTAAATTCCACCAACCTTGTTTTTGTCTTCAGTTCTGGCTGCTTGTCGGCACGCCGGGTGCCAGATGGAGGAACCTGCGGACAGATCCCCAAGAGGGAGGGCTCAGTGTTACTTCCCACAGTGCAGACGCTGCGCAGGGAGTCAGAAGCGGGGAGCTGGTAGTCCACACGCGGACGCTCTGCTGGAGGGGGTGCTGGGCCTGGGGCAAGCAGATGGCTGCCCGGCCCCAGGGGCTCATGGCCCAGTTTGGGGGGCCGGGGGTGTACAATGAATGGGAAGCGCACCACTGTGAGCACTGGGGACACCCGGGGTGCCCAGAGGAGGCTTCTCGGAAGAGGGGTGTCAGGTGGCTTCTTGTTCAGAGGCGGGGGAGAGAGGACGGGCTGCCCATGGGTGCGGGGGTAGCAGCCCGGCCCAACCACGGGCACGGCTGGGGCTGGGGCCAGAGCTGGGGTGGGAACCAGCCTCGGGAATGGGAATGAGGCTGGGGGGCAAGAGCTCTCGGCCGGGAGGCAGGAGGGGGAACCTCAGGTGGGAGCCGGGGTGTGGGGTGAAGAGCAGGGCGAGCCTGACTCTCTCACTGACTCCCTGGGTCCTGAGACCGATCCTACCTCAGTTTCTTCAGCAGCCAGTGTGGCCCCACCACCCACACCAACATCCAGCACCATCAAGGTAACAAGAGCACCATGGGCCCCACGGGCCCCACGGGCCCCGCCCTTTCCTCATTCGAACTCAGGCTCTCCAGGTGTCAGATTCTCCCCGTCTTCAAACAGGGCTGATAACGTTCCTCGCTCATCAGGCCAGTGGGAGAATCCGATGAGGTTAATCTGGGGTAATAACACACCGGAACGGTGCCTGGTGAACTGTAGCCTAGGGCGTTCGCTGCATTACTGCCGTATGTCCAGTGCGGGTGGGTTCGGTGCGTGTCAGCCCTCCCTGCGCCCCATCTTTCAGGGCCCGGAGCACCTGCTCTCCCTCCGGGGCCTCCCTGGATCTCAGCCTGGCCCCCTCGCCCCCTTGGCCGCCGCAGCTCTGTGTCTAGGTTCATACCCCATCAGGGAGGGGGCTGTGTCTGTTCCGTGCCCCTCCCCGCCGCCCAACAAGCCACACAGGGCCTGGCGCATGAGAGGCACTTAAAAGTGTGTGTGAAGGAAAGAGCGACGTCCTATTTCTGGCTTGCAAAGGCTTCCAGGTCACATGAACTAATGGCCAGGAGGGCAGGTTATTACTGCCTCGCTCTGGCAAAGCGTCTGCATCAGCCTGGAGCTCCTGGGGAGACCACGATTGAGGGGGTGTGTGTGTGTGTGTGTGTGTGCGTGTGTGTGTGTAAAACATTCATTTTTGACAACTATGATTACCAAAGTAATAGGTAAGTCACCGATATTCCTTATTAAAAATTAAAGACACCCAACAAAGTATAAATAAGAAAATTAAAACCGCCTATAACCTCTGAGCCACTCTGCTCGGGCAGCTTTTTAGCGTTCCCGTGTGTTTTTCAGAGAATGCGGATAATGTTGTACATAGTCTTACGTCCTACGATTTTTGTTTAAAGTGTCTAGAACGTTTCCCCACGTAATTAAATATCAGAAGCATAACCACGAGGGCCGTGCAACATCCCACATGGAGAGAGGAGGATTTTTCCGTCCCTCGCCCGCTGGTTGCAGTGTTTTATTTCTAAAGTCACGTTGTTGGGGGGGCTTCCATGGCACGCCAGTTCCAGCACACCCCTGCCATTCACTTAAGGACTTCCTAGAAGTGGAGTCGTGTGGACATTAAGGCTCTTGAAGCATTCTGACGATTTCCCGGTTTTTGCCACACCAGCCAGGTAAGAGGCCCGTTTCCTTGATTCCTCACAATGGGGACGCGACCTTCCTTTCAGTCCTTGTCAACCCAGTGGGGGAAAGGAGTATCTAATTATTCTTTTCATCTGGGTCTCCCTGATCATTACTGAGCATCAACAGCTCCTCCCCTGCATTTACTGGAAAGGTGTGCCCCATGGTACATGGCGCTGGTGGTAGCAGGGAGGGGGTGAGCTGCCCCGTCCTCCTCGAAGGCTGAGAGGCTCGCTGGGACCCCTGCTTTTCAGAGCTTCGACTGCACGGGATTCACCTGTCAGCACCTTCCTGGAGCCCCAACATCCAGGTGGACCAGGCAGAGGGTCTCAGGGTGTCCAGGCTGGGCGGGGGCCAGACCCCCCCCCAAAGAGGCCCTGGCCGGTGCTCCAACCCGGGTCCACCCCTTGTCACACCGACTGGGAAATTTGAGGCTGGGAGAGGGGATGGGACTGGCTTCCATATCCCACAGAAAGTCATGGCAGGACTCGCTTTAGAAACGGGGTGCCTGCCACAGCCCAGAGCCATGAAGAGCGCCTTTATTCCCTGAGACTGGGTCCCTCTTGATGGTGAGCTCCTGTCCCCATGCTGCGGTCCCAGCCCATTGTGCTGGGCATCAGAAAGGCCTGAAAGCACTATTTACAGTGGGGGCGATGCTGGAGGGGGCCCCCTCCCACCCAGACGTCCCAGCAGCAGTGGGAGGGGCGCAAAGGACCCCTTTCATGGGCTCTCAAGCAGAGACTCAAGGAACAAGAGGGGACACCGGGGACGAGGCCAGCCTAGCGACGTCACCCCACGAGGCTGGGCTCAGAAAGGCAGGCCTGTGTGACACACAGCCCCAAGACGACCGCCCCATGAGGTCATGAAACAGCCTGTGTGTGGCTCTCCCATCCGTCCAGCCCCGCTCGGCCTGCCTCTGGGGTCGCTGGACACAGACGGATCATTGAATAGAAACAGTGGCTGCAGAGATGGGGTCTCCAGACCCAACCCATCGTCTTGGGGAGGGGCCGAGCAGCCCCGGGCCGTCACCATGTCCCATTTCTCTGCCTCCCACACGTTGCCACTGGGCTGGGTGGGGGGCTTCCCAGCTAGAGAGGTGACACCAGTTCCCACCCAGCACGGGGCATGGGCCCAGGGCATGTTCCTGTCTTGCCCTAGGGGACGGGGCAACGCGGTTTTGTCCTTACCTTGAAGATACATCTCCTCGCCTTCCTCAAACATCCGGCCGCACCGGACGCAGAGCGCACACAGTGGGTGGTAGTGTTTTTCTCCTGCCTGTAAAGACAACGAGACAGAGGTGTTTCTACCGAAGCTAAAGGGGCCACAGAAGCAGCCACACTTGGCTGGGGTGACAGTGTGCCCACATGAGGGGTCCTCAGAGGATGCTGAGTGTGTGCTATGTCCCATATCCGTCGGGGTTTCAGGACGGCACCCGAGAGAGCCTGGGTCCACTGGGTGCTCCCGGGCTGTCCAGGGCACTGGGTGTGGAAGCAGGCCACGTGCACTGGGGCCACGCGCGCCAGGGGCCACATCTGGGAGCAGAGACCAGCTGCACCACCCGACCTCCAGGCGAGCAGGGGTGTCACCCAGCCCCTCCGGCCCGGTGGTTGATGGATCTGCCTCCCTCATGGGGCAGGGGGGCCGGGTCCTGTCCGTCTCTGTACCGGAGTTGGGGGGCGCAGTGGGAGAGGGCAGAGGGGAGGCCGAAGCTAATGTGACTCTCCAGGTGGAGGCACCGGAGGTGTGGGCTGTCTTACGCATCTCCCTATTGCTCAAATTTCTCAATTAGCATTTACTGTTTTTATAATCCTTAGCATCCATGAAGTTAAATGCAAAGATTAATACAGACATAACGTCAACTAATCACATTGGCTGCCGTGGCGTAGTTCTGGACGGCACAGAAGAATCGCCCCAAACTATCGTACTCGGCACCCCTCCGTGGTAATATCGTTAGCGTTGGGGTAAGGCGGGCAGCAGCCGGCTGGCAGCCGTGGTCCTAACGCCATGTTTCAGTCTTCCCGGACGTGGGAAGGTCCGATGACTGCTTCCTGAATGTTAGTAACAGCACTTCCGCGGATGAGCACGTGAGGGGCTCAAATGCACACCCGCATCTCACTCTCCTCCCTCACCACCGAGCCGTCGGAGAACCCCTGCCCCAAGGTGACCCCTGTGGCAGGGAGGAGGGATCCCGAACACGCTCCTCTCCCGCGTGATGTGCCCCGTGGCACGGCCCACCGATGCATCCGGGCGAAGGGATTCTTCCCGGGGAGTGCGGGGCTGCTGCATCCATCGTCCTCCCGCCTGCTCTGGAGCCTCCTCCCGATCCCTCCGCTGGGAGCACCTTCCCCCGCTCCACCTGCCCGGGCCCTCCCTGTTCTTTATCGCAGCTCAAATGCTGCCTCCTCCTGAAAGCCTCCCCCGCACACATCCCTGGTCTGGGCTCCTGCTGGTTTCTTCTTCCCCACTAGACAGGGAGCCCCTCGGGGGCCACGCCTACCCAGGGCCACTTCAGGAACCGCTAGTTGGCGGGTCCTCTCCGAGTAGAGGGTCACAGGGCAGCGTGGGCCCAGGCAGAATGAGGGCGAAGCGGTCATTTCGGTGATTTTAAACATTGTGACCTCCGACCCGTCCTCGTGCCCGCGTCACCCAGGCCCCCTTCCCACTGGTGGGGGACAACCCCCATGATCTCAAACAGCAGGAGTTCTGCAACACCCACTGAAGGAGACAGACCCTGGTGTCTACACAGGGCATCTACACCTGAGTAGGAGGAGAGAGAAAACCGTGGGGACGGTTTCTAAGACGACAGGCTTGAAACCCCAACCGCACGGATGAGAATTAACACAGAGCGGAGAGGCAGCCCCGGGCCGCTGTGAGGGGCTGGCCCTGCATACACAGTCTTCGGCCTTCGGGGACACACTCCCACCCAGACCTGGCAAACGTCCCCAACCCCCCAAAATAACAGCAACTCCACCACTGTTTCCATAGCTCGAGCCGAGGCCCTTTCACACGCTACCTTGTCTTCACTCTCCAGAAGCCCTATGAGCTACATTATTATCCTCATTTTCCACATGGTGCACAGAACGGTGGAGGGAGCTGAGAAAGGTCACACAGCACAGAGCTGGTGGAGCAGGACTGGAGCCCAGGAGCGTGGCCCTTTGTGGCCTCCCAGCCCCCAGCCTGGCGGTCCCAGCTCTCGGGTGCTGACCCCAGCGTCACCTGCTCCCCAGTCCCTGCCCTGGACAGTCCACAGGGAAACCCTGAGACACCCAGGAGGGAGGAAAGAGGCAGACACTGGAGAGCACGGATTACATTCACACGAAGTGCAGAACCAGGCCGATGAAGTCTCCTTTATTAGAGTCAGGGAGGCGGCCGCCCTGGGGTTCCCGGGGGCTGGGCACGTTCTCCTTCTTGATCGGGGTGCTTGTTACACAGATGTGTCCGGTTTATGGACACCGATCAAGCTGTAGGATTCGTGCAGGATTCTGTGTGTGTGACACGTCAGCAAGACCCACAAGGTGGATTGATGACTGAAATTAAGAGCTAAAACTACAAATCTCTTAGGAGAAAAGAGGGGTGCATCTTCGCCCCGGGTTTGGCAGTACCTTCTTGGATTGGACACCAAAAGCAAGAATAGCAATAACAAAAACAGGTATGTTTTTTCTCACAAATATCAAACTATCGTGCATCTGAGGACATGGTCGAGAAAGTGGAAAGACGGTCTGTGGAATGGGAGGACCCGGCTTAACATCTGGAACATATAAAGAATTCTTACAGCTCAATGACAAAGAGACAAACAGTCCACTTAGAAAGTGGGCAAAGAACTCGAATAGACATTTTTCCAAAGAAGACACACAAGTGGCCGAGGAGCACATGCCAGATGCTGGATGTCACCGTCACGGAGGAAGGGTAAGTTCAAACTGCCACGAGACGCCACTCCATGCCCATTAGGGTGGCCGTAATCGACGTGAGACCCAAGGGACAGTGCGTGTCGGCGAGGATGTGGGGAGAGCGGGGCCCCTGTGCGCCTGCTGGGGGGAATGTGCGTGTGGCTGCTGGTGCCTCAGAAAGAGACGCAGAGTTACCACTGGACCCGGTGGTTCCACTCCTGGGTTGGAACAGAATGGAGGCGAGAGCACAGCAAAAACACAGGTCTGCACAACTTGGACGCGAGTGTCCACGGCAGCCATTTTCACAGCGGCTCCAGGGTGCAAACGGCCCCAAATGGCCCCGGGGGGGCAAGCAGGTAAACAAACTGTGGTCCAGCCACACAGTGGAATATCCTTCAGCCTTAGAAAGGACTGGAGTCCTGACACGTGCGGCCCCGAGATGTCCTATGAGGACGTCGGTGTCCTGTAAGACAGGACACCAGAGTTCTGTCTCCACCATGTGAGGGCACGGGGAGAAGGTGGCCGTCTGCAGTGCGGGCAGCGGGCCCTCCCCAGGAACCGAAGGACGGCAGACTTGCTGCCCCCAGCACGGACAGGAACGCTGCCTGGGGTTTCAGCACCCAGGGCCCAGAATGGCTGCAGCAGCTCCGGTGGACTAAGACCCGCCATAGAGTCCAAAGTCAAAGCGCCCTCGCTCCTTGTATCGGGCCCCACGGTATCTCCTGTCCTCTCCCCCGGTGGCCACGGTGACCGGATGTTCCACGTCATCCTGAGGCTGCTGCAGCCCCTGCCCTTTCAGAGCCTCTCCTCCCCATTCCCGGGCACTACGGGCCGGGAGCGTCAGCACCTGGGGTGTGGTCTGTGCAACCACCCAGCCCCCAGCCGGGCAGATGGCCCAGCCCTGCGCCAGGTGGGTCTCAAGATGGCTCGGATTTCTGAAGAATATTAAAAGCTCATGAGCTTCTGCAGTGCGTGGTTTTAAAGTGACGTGTGTGCCTCCGGCAAGTGGCTGTCATCTTGAATAAGACAGAACAAGGCTCGTGAGGAACGCAGGAAGGTGGGCTCCAGGGGCCTAGAACAAGCGCAGCTCCTTACTCAGGACCAAGTCAGCACGGGGGACTGGAGCACGTCCCACCACCGACACGCAGGGCGCGGCCAGCCCCGGGGACTCGGGCAGTGTCTCTGGGCTCCAGAAGCTCCCGCCCCGCACCCGGCCGTGGGCAGCACAGAGGGATAGGCCCCGCACATGGGAGGCAGGCGTCCCCTCACCCCTGGCCCCTTCTGCTCCCTGGACAACAGGCTGCGCCCCTGTGGCCCTCTGCGTGCTCCCCTGAACGCCAGGCTGCGGAGGGCCGCCCATGCCACTCCCGGGCCTCCACCGGCCTGAGGCACAGCTCCAGTGTCCTTGCTGAGCGGCCAGAATGGACTCCAGGTCGAAAAGACCTCATCACCAGCATGCGCCGAGATGATGAAATGTACCGTGAAGCTAATGAAAGCCTTCAGCGGAGTGTCTGGCAGCCGCGCAGACTTCCCGGACCGGCTCCGTGACCTACGACCCCCCAGGAGCTACGTCCCCCCGGGGAGAAGAGCCCAGCTCCTCACCATGCAGGGCCCTGCGGGCGAAGCCCTGTGCGATCGGCAGCCCCCTCCCCAGAGCCCCTGACCTCACCCCTGTCACTGTCCCCCCATCGCTGACCCCACGTGTTCCCTCTC